AAGAAAAAAAATATTGCTAAGGTTGATATCAAAGAGCTTACTGCCAGGGTGCCTGTGTGGCTCAGTGGGTTAAAGCCTCTGCCTTTGGCTCAGGTCATGATCCCAGAGTCCTGGGATTGAGCCCCACATTGGGCTCTCTGCTCAGCAGGGAGCCTGTTTCCCCTTCTTTCTCTCTGCCTGCCTCTCTGCCTACTTATGATCTCTGTCAAATAAATAAATAAAATATTTTTTAAAAAAAAGCTTACTGCCTGTGTTTTCTTCTGGTAGTTTTGTGGTTTCAGGTCTTACACTTAAGTCTTTAACCCATTTTGAATTTATTTTTGTATATGGTGTAAGATAGTGGCCCAGTTTTATTCTTTTGAGTATTATTAGCTGTCCAGTTTACCCAGTTCCATTTATTGAAGGAATTGTCTTTTCCCCATTGTACATTCTTGCCCCGTTTATCATAGATTAAGTGACTGTGTAAGTGTGGGTTTATTTCTGGGCTTTCTATTCTATTCCATTGATGTTATGTGTCTGTTTTAGTGCCAGGACTCTACTGTTGATTACTATAGCTTTGTATTAGACTTTGAAATTAAGGAGTGTGATAACCTCCAGTTTTGTTTTTTTTCCTCGACATTTCTTTGGCTGTTTTAGTCTTTTCTGTGGTTCCATACAAATTTTAGGATTCTCTGTTCCAGTTCTGTGAAAAATGCTTTTGATACTTTGATGGGAATTGCATTATATCTGTAGATTACTTTGGGTAATTTGGATATTTTAACAATATTACTTCTTCCAGTTCATGAGCATAGTCTCTCTTTTCATTTATTTGTGTCACTTCAGTTTCTTTCATCAATGTCTTCCAGTTTTCAGAGTACACATCTTTTATTTCCTTGCTTAAATTTATTCCTAGGTACTTTATTCTTTTGTATGCAATTATAAATGGGATTGTTTTCTTAATTTCTCTTTCTGATAGCTCATTATTAGTATATAAAAATGTAACTGATCTTTGTATGTTAAATTTGCATCCTGTGACTTTACTTATTTCATTTGTTAGCTCTAGAGTTTTTGGTGGAGTTTTTAGGGTTTTTTTTATATCTGCTATCATGTCGTCTGTAAATAGTGACAGTTTTACTTCTTTCTTTACAGCTTGGGTGCCTTTATTTCCTTTTCTTGCCTAATTTCTGTGGTCTGGAGTTCCAATACCATGTTGAATAAAAGTAGTTTGGTGGGCATCCTTATTCCTGATCCTAGAGGAGAAGCTTTCATTTTTTCATTTTTGAGTATGATTTTAGCTGTGGGTGTGTCATATATGGCATCTATTATTTTGAGGTACATGTCTTCTTACTAACTTTTTTGCTTATCTTTTTTTTTTAAAGATTTTATTTATTTATTTGACAGAGAGATAGATCACAGGTAGGCAGAGAGGCAGGCAGAGAGGATCCCAGGACCCTGAGATCATGACCTGAGCTGAAGGCAGAGGCTTTAACCCACTGAGCCACCCAGGCGCCCCTTGCTTATCTTTTAATATGTACATTTTTAAATCACCTCTAAAATTTTTGAGGGCTGGGGGCTTCTCTTTATGTATACCCCTCTGTACTTAATAGTAGGCCTTACCCATTGTAGGTGCCTGGTGGATGTTTGCTAATGTCTCTTTCTCCAACCAGACAGTAAGCTCTAAGAGGAGAGATATCTGCTTATTTTTGCTCACCAGTAGGCTGAGATCACCAGATATTTTTGGATGTATGAATGAATGATTTCCCAATGATGAGTTTCTGTCTTACTCTAAGATTTTTGTTCTTTCTTGCAGCAGAATGCATACTAGGTAAGAGTAATTTTCTCATAGTAAGTCACCAAGGGAAGAGGTGAGTAAAGGGTAAACACGACTCCAGAGGAAAAGTCTTAAGTTAGCTTTGATTTTGCCACCATATGTTCCTACCATATTCAGTTTATATTGCCTGGTCCTCTTCAGTTCAGAACACACAACCAAGTTTTGAATTAAAGGAAACCCCTTTAAGAACTGCAGACTTGGGTTGTTGGGCTGTCTTGGTCAGAAGAGCACACAACTCTTGATCTCAGAGTTGTGAGTTTGAGCTCCACATTGGGTGTAGAGATTACTTAAATAAATTGAAAAAAAAAAAGAATTTTAGATTTAGAAAAATTTCCAATTTCAACCTTCCCCATCAATGTTTTAGATTTTGCATCAAGAATTTAAAGCATATCACATCTGTGCATGAACTCATACTAAGTCTGTCTGAGACTGCCATTTCTATGTATTGAATTGTTGATGTTCTCTTGTCAAAGTGTAAAATTAATTTCCTGGCTTGATGTCATTATTTCCTATGGGCAGACTTTGAGAATGCTTGAAGTGTAAAGCCATATTTTGAATAATGAGAGGAAGAAATCTGTATCTTGCTCTTGTCTTCTGCAGCTCCAAACATGATTTCAAAAAATTAAAAAAATTAAAAAGGCCCTTAATACCCAATTATAGAGGAATATTCAGTTATTCTATATGGACTCAATGAAGTACTAAGTTGCAACTAAAAATAACTTATGAAAATTATATATCAATAAGGAAAAATATGTATGATATAATACTAAGAATAAAAAGTCCATTTTATAGTGATTGCAACTAGTTACAATTATGTATTACTGTGAACTGGGGTGACCAACCTGGTTTGCCTCTGACTATCTGGGTTTCAGCACTGAGAGTTCTGCATCTCAGGAAGTCCTTCAATCCCAGATAGACTGGGATGGTCAGTCATCCCATTAGGAACAAATTGCCAAAAGGGATAATTGGGGAGAAATCCTAGCAATTACTTTCATTCTTCTTTAACAATAGATGTTAGTGTTGTCTCATAAGGAGTTACAGGAGGTCAGTAAAAATAATTATTTGAGATTATAAAAATGAATAAATAGCTAATATAACACAGTATGCTAATAATTATACTTGAATAAAAATATATATAAAACAAAATTCTTAAAGACATAATGGATTCGGAGAGGTATTCTCATATATATTTCAGAAGTGGGGAAAATAAGATAGAGGTGACATCTTGTCTTCTTTGTAGGTTTCTTCATTAATTGTTTTCCTCTGGGCTGCCACTGCTCTTGTCCATTTCTTCTAGTTCAAGGCGAGAGTGCTTGACTCATATGTTAGCCGCATTCTGGAGTGCTAAGTGGGAGAAATCTGTTAGTTATTAAATTTTCCATGAAAATTTTCTTCAGGAATGTGTGTGTGTAAAAATACCCTGGCATAAATAGTTGATGTCCTGACATCACATAGTTCAAACTCAGATTGAGTTTATGTGAATATGAATTTAAAGCTATAGGAGCTTCGCTCATGGGCTGACGTCACAAGAACGGAGAAGACTGTGTAAACACCATGTTGGAATCACCGATTTCAGACAAGAACACTGATACAGTTTTATTTATTTAAAGCTAATTTTGAGGACTTTCCATAGACAGAGAAATGTCTCATCTTCTTTTTTTTTTTTCTAATCACAGTAAATACCTTCTATTGGTGGTCCCTAAAAAAAAGTAAAAATATCACAAGGAGTGGAAATTACTTTGTCTTTGTATCTGCCAGAATCTGGCGCACTTAACATATAGAAAATGCTCAAATGTAAGTGATAGATTATAGTAACATTCTTTCTATGTAGGGCACTAGTATGTCTGAATATAAACAGGAATTGAGAAGTGGGATAGCTATTGCCTAAGATTTGGCATCATAACTGATTATATTATTTTCAAGCATGATCTTCTTTTTTGAGAATGTCCGTAGCACTTAGTGTCTGCATTATGTAAGATTACTTACTAACAGCTAAGTATATATTAATGATGTAAGTAGTTTCCCAAATATTGTGAATGTCTAAGTCTTTTTATCCCCAAGGAGTAAGACTGGATTCCTGACTCTGTGTCTCTCTCAACACCTATTTCGTGCTGGTTAGAGAGCAGGTGCTCATTAAAACCTGTTGACTTTGCTCAAGTAGTTTATGCAGGCAGTTTGCTTATTTCAAACATCGTAGGATTTGAGTGAGAAGATCTGAGTATGAAAGAAGGCTCTCAAAACTAGCTGTGATCACTGACAAATTACTTTTGCTTTTTTATAAATTAGCCTTTTTGAATTATTTGTAAAATATGGATAGGAGCTTTTTTCCCTTGATTATGGAATATCAAATGTAATTATTTGATAACCTACTTTGTGAACTAGAAATTACTTTAGAAATGCTACTATTGATTATCATTTAAGATTTGGGTACTCGTTATGGCATTTTCTTTGATTCTTTCTTCTCTTGCCTATAGGCTGAAGGTAGTGCAACCAAGAGCCTAGAACAGGTAGGTAGACAGTGCAACCATGAGCCTAGAACAGGAGTTAGGAAAAGTTAAGACAGATACAGACACGTCCATTTATAAGCTGTGCTGTTTGTACAAAGAAGGGGTTGGGTTTTGGCCACTTAGAGCTTCCCTGATGGGGTGTGGACACTCTAAGAGCAGTGGACACAGTGTCAGCCCCATAGAAAGATAGAATAGATCCTTAATGCCCCTCATTATTACTATTTTTTACTTTCCTTAAGAGTAAAAGAGACTCCACAAAATAGGTAGATGTGGAAGGAATTAAAAATAGTTTCAGGATGGCCTGGAGCCCACATTTATCTTTCTCATTAGGGGCAGAGATGGAATTACCACACTGACCACTACTACAAAGCCTTATCCAAGGAAAAGGCTAGTGAGAAATCATGTGGTATATAACACTTAGCCTGCCTTGTTGTAACGTAAGTGAGCTGCCCCAGACAGGAAACATGCCGGCACAGTCGCCTGCAGTGGCTGTATTCTCTGCATGAGAGAGAGAGAGAGAGAGAGTGCGAGTGTGAGTGAGTTGTGGTCATCCCACGCAAAGGCCAGAGAGACAGATGGAGGATTCTTGCAGAAGGCCTCAGGAAATAGGGGTGGATATGTCTCTTGGAAGCTATGAACACTAGTTTCTAATGCTAAGAAGAGCAAACAGAAAGAAAAAAAAATCATTTAAGGAATGCTGTCATTTTCTATTGGTGAAGGTTCCTGGTCCTGGGGAAGTTCTTGAAAGTTTATTTCCATTTCCTCCTCCTCCTCTTGGACAGGAATAATTTCAATCTCTTCTTCATTCTTTGGTTGGGAAGGTACTTCGGTCAGCTCCATCATGTCTTCTGTTGTTTCAATCGGCTGTTCTTTCTTTTCTTCAGCAGCTAACAGGACAACTACATCCTAGGACACAAAATTAAACAAATGTTTCTTGACCTTTACCATTGGCACATTTGTCAACAAACTCTAGGAACATTTATCAGATACTTCCTGGTTTTTATGCTGTTTGTGTTATTTCCTATATGCCTCCAAATACCAGGATTGATTTCCCAGGGGATCAAAGCTCATCTTCAAGGTCGGTAGATATTTGTCACTTGGCCTGGAATGATCACACAGCATTTGGGAAAGAACACTGCAGGGACGGAGGAATTTAGATTCTAGTTTTGATTTGCCTTTATTAGCTATAACCTTGGGAAGGTTGTTTTCTCTCGAATCTGTTTTTCTCATCTGTAAAATGAAGGAACTGTGCTTTCTAAATTTTAATCTGACGTTGTGTGGTTTGAAGCAGTTGATAATCAGTCTGTCACTGGGATATTCACCTCTCCCAATTGTGGAGCCTCTTTGAACCCATTGTTTTGGAAATGGGATTTGATGAAAAGGTGCAGGTGCAGGGGAGGGAATACTGAGAAATGAAGTGGAAGAACCAGTGCTTTTATCAGCCTTCAACCTTGAGCTATCCCACTTTTACACATTAAGTATGGAATCAAGTCAAGATGGGCGCGTGGAGTGAAGCAGAACTCAAGGTTAGTAAGTGCACATATTAGAGGACTGTATCCTCTGTCTAACCTTTAGACTTATTTCAAATTTCAAGACACTTCTGCCTCATCAGGTGTTTTCTACTTTCCAGAAATCTGCCAAGACCATTTTTCGTGAAGCTTCTAGTCTCAAAGTTATATTAGATTACATTCTCCATAAATCATTTTTTGTAGACATGATTTCCTACAGGGTGTTAGTGGACGGGGTGGCTACTACTTACAGATTTAGGTTTGGAGCACAGGTTTTTCCATTCATTCTCAACAATGCCAGCTGTCACAAGTTTCTGGAAGAAGGTAAAGATCACCATCACGGCAAAAATGCCCTGAAGAATGACAGAAAAAACAAGAGCAGAAATACAATAATGAAATAAGGAATATGATTGGTGCTCATCTACTGTTTGTTAAAATTAAATGATTAAAAGGTCAGTTCTTTAGGTGAGTAATGAGCGATCTTGAGAACTATTAGTATCTTTATAACCCTAACCCATTAGCACAACAGCTGGCATGCCACAGATCGCTAATGCATGTTGCTGATAGAAAATAAGGCAATGGTAATTAGTTGAAAATCTGTTTTATGTAGGAAAAATTAATCACTGAATCTCAGATTAAGTTGTATCCAGCTTTAGGTGGTATCACGACGAAGGAAACCTGTCTATACTTGGAAGATGCATTTTCCCCCTTCAAACTCCACACTAAAAACTCATGGAGGCAAAAGATGTTCATAGTAACTTAGGTACTTCTTCAGTGTTCATCTTAATCATCTTAGTAATTATTAACCAGTAATAATAATAATAATAATGTTAGAGTAAACACATAGCACTTTCTGTGTACCAATTTTAAGGGTTTTGTGTATGTTAACTTATTACTCAAAACAACCCTGCTGTTTTACTGTTAATTTCCCCATATTACAGCTGAAGAAACTGAGGCAGAATGTGGTTAAAATTCTTGCCCAAAAGCTGTATAGACAGTAAGTAGCAGATATCTTGATCCAGAGTTGACACTTGTAATAAAAAAGCTAAACTTCTTCCCTGAAAAGAAACCTGATTTCTGGGGCACCTGGGTGGCTCAGTTGGTTAAGAACTGCCTTCTGCTCCCGTCATGATCCCAGGGTTCTGGATTGAGCCCCATGTCAGGCTCCTTGCTGAGCAAGGAGCCTGCTTCTCCCTCTCCCTCTCCCTCTGCCTGCTACTCTGCCTGCTTGTACTCTCTCTTTCTCTCTCTGTCAAATAAATAAAATTAAAACAAAAAACCCACTTACCATATTTAAAAAAAAAGAAAGAAAGAAACCTGATTTCATACTTACCAAGAAAACAGATCGTATGCTGTCACAATATTGTATAGACAGAGAGTTTTTGTCAGCGGGATTAGCTGGTTCACAGTTGTGTATGTTAATATATGGCATGGAAAGTTTAGCAAGATTCAAATTCTCCATTTTAAAAAAATGGGAAATGGTAATATTAAATATGTCCATTATCAAAAAGATTATTCCAGAAATAGCAGCAAAGAGGCTCAATGAGTTCATTATCATTTTCCCTTTGGCCTGAAATGGAGACATGAAGATTTGTTAATGGGGTTTGATTTCATTTGGGCTGTCAAATCTAGGAAGGAATTCTAGATCCCATTCCTCTGACTCAGAAAGGCAGTACACTTAAATCATACTAAACCACACTTATCTCAGTGGTTTTAGTGTCCTTGCCACTGTAATGTGACAACCTTCCATCTCTAACTCGTGTTCCTTCCTTGGACTTCCCCATCTCATTTTACCCCTTCACATCCAATCAGTTTATTGAGAGAAAATTCTAGGATTCATCCTAAATTCTTTTATTTTGTACCTTTGAACTTCCTTTCACTGCCACTGCCACTGCCAACATCCTGGTAGGCATTCAGTAAATATCAGTTGAGTAAGTGAATATAAGTAGTATTCAGATTATATCTGCCTAGGATGGTAGAGGGAAGGAGGTTCTTCCATCACATGAAGTGAGATGGTTCTGTGGATATAGGGAAGGAAGGAGCAGATAGAGCCCTCTGGGTCTGTACCAGCAAGTGGAAACAAACAGTGGCAAGAACACCGCCACCAACTCCCTGCTGACACAGGTTTTGTAGATCTCATTTCCAGGTTTATCATGAATAACATCACAGTGGCTTTCTTTTGCTTTTGGGGACTGAGACAGAACACAGTACTACTTTGATTCCAAAGGTCTTTAAGGGTTTTTTGTTTTCCATTGAGAAAGTAGGTATTTCTCTGATGTGGGGAAAGAAGGACATACGATTACTTGCCAAACTCTGCCTGGGGTTTTTGTCCACTGCAGCCAGGAGTGATCCAGAAATGATATACTGTGAAAAAAGAGATGGTGGGTGGGGAAGGCATGGGCAACATGGGAGAAGAGGCAGAGAGGGAGAGAGGCAGAGAGGGAGGTCACTTTTCACATTGAGAACTGGTTGTAAAAAAGCTATCTGCATTTCCAACCACCTTCATTAAACTGTCCAGCCATTTTTATAGTGTTCATTCATTTTTCAGCAGTCACATTTCTCCTTTATTCATGCTCAACTATGTTCGTTCTATGCCTTTTATTCAACTAACTGGGGGAGCTGTGATAGGAATAAAGTAAGACCAGAGGCAAAACTCACACTTTCAGGTCAATGAATACTAACAACTGTGAATTTGGTAGTTTTATTTTTATTTTTAGCTTTTTTTTTTTAATTTGTGGAATTTCTCCTTGGAGTCTACAGTGATTTAAGTGACTTTGATGCCAATGAGGAGTGAATCGGTATGGAAGGAAAGACTTGGCCTAAAGGCCAGAGGCACTCCGTGAAAATGTTGGCTGCTACCCGAAGTGATGGCAATTATTTCTCATCCTTCTCTCTACCGTGCAGGCCATAAAATGGAGGAAACTTGTTTTAATCGATCTCTCTTTGTTCTGAAAATTTCAATCCTGGGCATATCTTTGTAGTAGCAACTATGGAAGTGTAATGATGGTATAAACATGGCTGCCCCATACCATACCCAGACAAGGTTACAAGCTTGGAAAACATGTACATGAAACGGCCATAAGAATTGCTGCTCTGCTGTTAAGCCAGAGGAGATTCATCTGGAATGGGACTAGTTTTACCATCTATGATGATAACTACACAGAACTGTAGGAGGAAGGACCAGGTGGGAGGAAATGGAATGCCCCCATGTTTTCCTGCTTTCTGAAACACCATACTGTACAGTCCAAATGTTTAGTGCCTTCTCCCCCATCTCCATATTGATTTTGGAGAGGTCCAACTTTGGACAATCTTCCTTCCCTGTGTCGATCCTGGTAGGGCATCTCTCTCTGAATTCCCATTAAGTGTGATCACTGACTTTCAATGGGATTCATGCTCAGTTTAGTCAACCTCTCTTCCCACTAAATTACTTTAGCCTCATAACCTATTTCCCAGCCATATACTTTTCCTTAACCTTTTTGTCTGCATCACTTCCAAAATGGTTTTTAGTTTTTACTCACCATAACGCCTCCCCAGAAAGGGTACCACAAAGTTATACAGATAGGTGCATAGACATCTGTGTGAATCATCAGGAGACCGCCTAGGGCAAGGTGGAAGAGCCCATTCATAATCTGGACAGCCTGGAGAGAGAATGGGGGCACTGATGATGAACTGAAGTCATCACCAAGTCGGAAAACAAAGGTAAGGCAGGAAGCCCCGGCTCCTGACTTGGGGTTGCATAAAATGTCTAAAGGAAGTGGCGAAGGTGCCAAGACCCTTTGTAGTTCAGATCCATCTTACCCAGCACCTGGGTCATTTCCAAGGAGAATATATCTGGGATGCTGGTGACAAACTTGGGTGGGAAACTCCTAAATATGCAAGCCACAAAGTCAAAAGGAGATAGATCACTGTGGTAACTTCTCCACACATCTCTGGTTTGACATATTGTGTCAGATATAAAGAACACCTTGGGTTGGACCAAATACTTTTTAGTTGGGTTGTTGCATTCTCTACCTGGCCTACAGCATCTGTTTTTGTGGGCCAGAGAGTCTCTGGGATACAGAACGGAGTGCAGCTGACTTACCCCCAGTGTTTTAGATTCCCTCATGAAGAAGTTTTGTGTAGGGCCCACCACTGAAGTCATCCTTTTGGGAATTATTTTTTGAACAGGATGCATGGCAGTAGGGCCTTTCATAGGATCTGCTTGGAAAGTTCCACTCATTGAATTTCTGGATGTTGTCATTTCACCCTCAGAATTCCTAAAAATAAAACAAATAATAAAATGGGGGGAGAGAGAGAGAAAATAGGATTTTCAGCAGTCTTTGATCTTGTCTCATGCACCTGAATACTTTTCTCCATATTTTTTCCATGAGTGTCATTGAGGAAAGACAGGGTGTCTTCCCAGTGTCTTTGGGTATGAGGCAAAGCCTACTACTATGTTTGAAGACAGGATCTGAGGGGGCATCTCAGGCAAAGACCTGTGGGCCCAGGGATCCCTGCCAGGATTCTTGACAATGATGTTTGGGACACACTTTATCACTGTAGAGAAATCCATGCTCATCTGTCTGCATGTCCTGTGTGTCTCACATCCCTGGATGCTTTTCTTACACCCTCATATTGGAAAGTGTATTTCGTCATTGACTTGTCCTTATCCTTTTGCTTATCTGCTTTTGTCCATTGGCATCATGAAGGAGTATGGTAAGGACTGTCCTTAGGGTCCATAGGAGCTGATTCTAGTCTTCCTCTGCCACAACTCTGCAACCTCCAGTAAATCACTTTAAGGAGGCTCTCTAAGGTTGTATATTAAGACTCTAGCCTCCTGAGATGGGTTGCCAAGGTTGAAATTGTGATTATGCTATTTGCTGTGAAACTACAGGCAAGTTCTTTGAATTCTCTGAGCCTCAAGTTTTCAACTGTAAAATGGGCATAATAATTCTTGTCTTATAGAATAGGGTTTCTGTAGTACTTAAACGGACTGATGGTCTGTGTGTGAATACTGTCTTCTCATTCAAGTGTAGCTCAAATGTCAACTCCTCAGAAGAGGCTTGCTCGAATCCTCAGTCCACAGTGATCTTGCACAGCATCCCAGTTTTTTGCTTCTTGGCACTTACCACTATGGGGAATCCCCTCAATTGTTTGCTTGCTTGTTTATTGGCAGTCTCTCCCCACTAGAATATAAATCCCATCAAAGCAGAGACCTTATCCCTCTTGTTATGTGGATTGAGTAGTTCTTAACACTGTGGAGGAAATAAATGTATGTAAAGTACCCAAGTCTGAATAATTATTACCTGTTTAGTTGCTCTGCTAGTTCTTAGTATTACTGCCTTCAGGAGCATTAGTTTCTGTTTTTCCCATTGGAAAAATGAGACCCAATACCCTTGTCACAGACAGGTTGTGAGAAACAAGGAAGTTCGCATATGAAAGTGCCTCCTACAGGGGGAGAAAGTAGGAAGTGCGGTCTGTTCTTAGAATTCATTGTTATTCATTTCTGAAGTTAGTGATTATTACCAAGACTCTTCCCAGTTCTCATGTTGTAAGACTGTTCAACTTTTTTCATCTTGTGCCTCCCTTTGGCATTTATTTGTTTATGTCAATTACTTACATGAATTCTATTGGGTCTTTCCTGGGCCCTGGGAATCTCTCTTTAGGGACATATCTTTGGTGTCCTCTTTGTCAGCTCTAAGTCATGTAAGGGGCCTTGGAGACCAAGACTGTCCGTCCTGCCTGCTTATCCTGTTGAAGTCACACCCAGCTGGCTGCCTGAAGGTGTGCTGTGGGACAGGGGCCTGGGAGTCGCCCAGGCCTCATGTTTGCACGAACTCTATAATGACAAAGATTTCATATCTGGAGTTCAGTTCATTTCATATGAGGAGTTCAAGCCTCACAGAGTGGACAAGGGATGAATTGTTGCTTCTCTTTTGTAGAAAAGGTGACACCGACATGGAATAGTTAGGTCACTTGTTCCCAGTTACATGACTCCTAGAGACTGTGACTGAGGGCTTGGACTATCTAACGAGGTATCTGCGGCTGCTTTGGACCCTGTGCAGAATAGAGGTTCAGCCCTTCACTTAGGAGCCTCTCCCCTCTTTCGATGCCTAGAAAGCAATTGAAAACGGAATATTATCAGGACCATGGGCTGAAGGGAAGAGAGGGGTCTTCGACTGAGTGCTTTGCATTTGCTTTTACTTCACCTCTCAATTATCAGGTGTCATGTGGTCTTGGAGGTTTTGGTGCTTTGCACCACAAACCACCCAACAAGATCACTGAAGAAAAGGAATGTATTAATATAGCCCATGAAGGAGTTTAAAGACTGATTCTTATCACCAGGCAGAGTTTTTGGAGCTGGTTAGAACCTCAGAAACCATTCTGTTCATTTGACAAATGAGGAAGCTACCGCCCAGGGCTGGGCTGTGGTTTGTTGCCGACTTTGCACTAGGTGACAGCTGAACCAGGAGGCAGTCACCGTGGCTCTGAGGCTGTGCTCTTTCTGCTGCCTTGTGGCCAGACTACGTAGTTCAGCAGTTGACTGAGCATGCTCTGCATGCCTGGGATGTCTTGCATCTAGTGCCAGACCACCCAACGCCTGCTTTACTAAGTAGGCATTTGTCTTTTCTGCAGATGGGGAAGTGCAGCCCAGAGAAGTTAATTTTCCCATGGGTAGGAAGGGAATAAGCTGGAATCCCCACTCTCCTTTCCAGAGGGCTCTTTTTAAGTGATGACAACTTCAAGAGCAAAGGTCATCAATTCTCTGGACAGAAGGATATAACTGGATTAGTGTTGTTTTAATTTCTCCTTATTTTTCAACTGCCTGAGGCTATGTCTGTATTATTGGTGAGATAAACCTCCTATAAAAGCAGGTCCTACTGGGGTGTGTCTGCAGTGGCTAGTGGCAGTAATGACCATAGGGGAGAAATATTTTATTTCACTGTTAAAACTGATGTCTCACTTCGGCAATTCTATTTCTACGAGGGCTTTGGCACATATTACTGTAAAATATTTTATAAACACAAACATACCCATTTCGATATGCTACTTTATTTTTTATGGAAATCATCTCCTAAAATATACACATATTTTTGTGCCAGGACATTGTAGACTAGGTAATGAAATTTTTACTGTATGAGAATATATAAAATTAGACCATGTACTCCTGAGGATATCATAGATTCCTGCAACTTTGCCCTATCATTATTTTTTAACTGTTCACAATGACTTGAACAATGCCCAACACACAGTTGAGCTCGAAGCCTAGTTGGTACATTAGCAGGGGTTACTGGGCACATTGGTCAAATGTGATCACAGTCGGGTTTTGTTTTCACTGAGCTATATTACCATCCGGGTTCAGCTGATCAGGCACTGCCCCATTTTATCACAGTGACTTCTGCAAATCTTTTTTTGGTTTTTAAAAGGCACCACTATTTCTGTGTGCATCCGCTGCTGAAAATCTCACAGCCTTTATGGGTTTTGGTTCAAATAATGACTTTTAGGTCCACTAATTACATCATTTAATGAGAAGTTCAAAGCTGCATAGATTTTGTCACCTCAACTTCCTCCTTTGTCACTCAAAATAGTTCTGCATTTTTATCCTTTCTGGCCTCATGCACGTATTATCTCTGAAGAAGCGTGTTCTGACTTCCTTTCCCTCTGCCTGTGCTCCTCAGCCCATCATCTCCTTCTGCCAGGACGTCAGTCCTTCAGAGAAAGTGGTTCTTGTATCTTCAGTCTTTATTTGTGGTACTGTACCACAGAAAGTGCTCGTCCCGGCGCTCTTGCTCGCCGCTTTTGTCATCTCACTATTCAAAGGATGTTTGAGAACATGAGATGATTTGCAATTTATAATGTACTAAACAAACAATAATGATTATTATTGGAAACCTGTGGATGATTAAAATGTGCTGCAGTGTCCCCATTCCCAAAGCCCCTTCCTTCAATCTGGCGATGTCCCCAGCCACTGCCTAGTGCCCGCCTTACTGCCTGCTTCTTCCAAGCTCCTCATTCTACTCTGTTACTCTACTTCCTCACCACCCACTTGCTCTCTGGGCTTCACTGCCAGCTGCTGCCAGGGCCACTCCTCTGAGGCTGCTCTGTCCGAGGCCTGTGCTGCAGAGTCTGTGGTCCTTCCTCCGGCATGACCGCTCAGATGGCTTTACTTCTGTTCCCCTGTCCCCCAGCTTAAAAAGCAGGAGCCATGTTTCTCTCCAGCTCCTTCATCTCCGTGTTCAGTCAGTGGCCAAGTCCTGCCGCTTCTTCCTCTGTAGAGTATCTTATCTTGCGTGCGGACCATTTTCTACATCCAGCGTCACCCCATGAGTTTGAGTCTCATTTCCCTTCCTGGTTTAGCCCCCAAATCCTACTCTTCTGCCTTTGGTCTTTCTCTTGTCTGATTCATCTTCTGTAGGGATGCTAGATCCGGCCCTGAATCACCACTTGAAGGCCTGCTCGTCCTGAGCTTGAACTTTTTGTCTGGGCTGTGACTGCCTCCCGGGGAAACCCATATATGGCCCCCCATGGCCTTCATGGTGCAGCTCTACAACCCTTCTGGAGCTGCCCCCCCATTGCTCCCTGCTGGAACTACTGATCTGGACACATCTCCTGCTTTCTTCTTGGAACCCTGTCCACATTGAAGTGATCCCCTCCAGCCCCTCCATAGCCAAACTCCCCATTGGACACATCACCTAAGACTGCCAGGCATGACTTCTGCAAAGCCCCCAGCTCTCTGCATTCCTTCCTTGTTACGAACTGTTTTCTTTGTCGTGAGCTAATACTGTAACTCCTCTAATGGGGTGTACATTTCTTAACATACGTCCTGCTAGGGTTAGATAGAGAACCTGTTTCCTGTGTGAGCTGTGAGCTCAATAAATGTTAAACTGAGCTTCTTCCTCAGGGAAGATTTACACATAAATGCTCAGATGCTGGACCAAAAGGTGATCATTTCATCTTACTTGATGATCTGTGAGATCAAGCCATTTTGTGGGAAACAGGAAAGGCAATCACATTATATACTGGTTTTAAGAAACAATAATGACGTGGCTAAAACTCATCTTGGTGGCCCTTCCTTAAGTCTTCCTCGTCTGCCATGCCCACTCTCACCGTAGACTTCTGTGATAGATTTGAGGCAGGATTCTTGTGTTGAGTTTGATGGCCCCGCAGTGCCCTCCAGAAAATGTTACCCTGTGATGTTTAAGAACATCTCAGGGTATTCACATCTAGTAGCGTATCTTTGGAGACAAAGGCATTCAAAACAAGAGAAGTTGAAATATTTTCATGGTAGCCATGGCTGATTATATTCTTCTTTAGAACCAGGTGGTTCTAAGAGCTTTAGGATTTTAGCTCATGTAATCTTATATAAAGCAGTGGGTTTGCTTTATATAAGCTCCCATCTTATAGGTGAGCAAACCAAGGAAGGTAGAGGTTTGTAACTTGCTATAGGCTTGTAGGTGGTGGAGCTCCGGTTTGAGCCCAGGAGCTCCGTAACCACACTCTTGTCTACATGCTGCAATCTGCTGTTTTTGTAGACTGGTTCCTAGTTCATTGACCAGGCTCTCTCTTGAGAGAGGGAGTGGTTAAGGGAGTGGGTGGGCAGCAAGCCCTGGTACCCCTCCTCAGATTGTGACAATACCGGAAAAACCTGACCAGGGAAACCCATGAGTGAAAGCCGAGCATCTCTAGTCTCCAAAACCATCCAACGCTTTACCCATCACTCCCTCCCTTTCAGTCGCTTAAACAAAGAAAACTGGTTCCTTACCTGAGTGTCCAAGGCCTTGGGGAGTGTGGCTGATTCAGATGCTTGCTGCTGAGTTCACTTCCACTGCTGGTGTCTCACGTACACAGGGGTGAGTGACATAAGGCAGGTCTGGGGCCTCTCATAGATACCAGGTGACAGGAAATCAGTGGCTTCTGCTACCTTGGCCTTTGCCCCAATCACTTTGGTTTAATGCACACTGACCAGAGCCAAAGGATATACAAAAAAGTTTCTGCCTTACCAGGAGGTTTCACTTCTTGAAAAGGACCCCTGGGGACTGCCTGGCGTACTTTACGCTACCTTAATTAGAAGAACTTTGCAGTCTCCACCCTGTAAGCAGGTGTGGATGGTGGGTCCCCAAGGGCAAGAAGGGCTCTAGAAATTCTCTAAAGATGGGCTGTTAGGAGTTTTACCTTTTTACTTCACTTTTAGGAGTGAGTAGGTGGGAAGAAGGCATCCAAGCAGAGAGATTCAGGAATCACTAAGCCTAGTCGTTTGGGAGCGTTGTAGGTAATATTGTCCATGTTTACCCACACTTAAGGTTCTAGTGGGGCCATGTATGTCTTGTGTGGGATTTACTAGAAATTACCTAAAAGTATACCTTGGTGCCGTAGAATATATCCTCAGAAGCTTGAGGCAAGAATTCCATGTTTTGGGATGCAAACTGAAGTAGCCCTTTTACCTACAACACCTGCCCTTTTCTTCCATCTGTCTAGTTTCCTTGTGTCCCCTCTCTTTTCAGTCTGGCCTAGAGCTATGCCACTGCTAGATCAAGTGAGTAGAAGAAGCCAGTAGCCAGGAAAGCGTAAATATTTGGGAAAGGAATCAAAAAAAGTTTTGCCCAGAGATATTGTTTCCCCTGCCCCCACCATATACAACTACTGTGTTCATATGTTGGATTTTTCATTGCTTTTAATTTCCTTGTCCTTTATTTCATTAGAGACTCAAGGCTGTAATTAGGTAATTGTTTGCCTAATCCAAAAAGCTGAAATATGGCAGCTCTCCCATCTCCCTCCCTCCTTCTATCCCTCTCTCTTCCCACCTTTTCTCTCCCCCACCTCCTTACTCTGTTCCTCTCTGCCATGGTTTGGATTAGAGGGTTAGAGCCAATGACTTGCTGTCATCAAGGATCCATGATTAAAAGGCATGAGGTCACCTCTCGTCAATCTTAAAGAAGAGTGGAAACATGAGATCTGCCATCTGCTTAAGCTTCAGTTCATCTACTAGAGTCCTTGAATGTTGGTGCCAGGGGTGATACTTGCAGGAGATCTGAGCTGTGGGTGATTGTGAGGCCTGAAATTGGGAGTCCAGGATGATGGATGGTCACGGGAATGTAGTTGGCATGGAAATTTGGCACATGCCTGGCATCAGTGAGGCTTGGACTGGGCTCACACAACCTGAGTTTTCATATCCTTTTCTCTGTGTAGGCCCTGTTTTTCCAAGTCTGCCTCAGAGTATTTGCTACTCTGTTTTTTGTGCCAGTGAGATCAGTTAGATAGCTCTTGGGTGATTCCTCCTGAATAAACTTGAATTTGAATCTATAAAAACAAACAAACATTCACTCTGTCTTTGCTGGTTTGGATTGACTGATTGTGTTGAAACCTCCATTGCAGTCTGGATTTGTCAGTAGCACTCCCTGTGTTCCATATTTTTTTTTTTTCTCTGTAACATTTGAGGATATTAGGTAAAACATTTACACATTTAAAATTCCTCTCCCCTCTTGTCATTACCCCGTGGCCCTCTTGTTTGCAGATGATGATCTCTTTGAGTGTACACAAAAGTTTATTAACTGAACTTTTAGTTCGTATTTACCTTCCTTTTATTCCCCTTACCTCCTAACACTCTTTTTTTTGTTGTTGTTTTGTTTTTTTGGTGTTTAGAACATTTTGCCTCTCCTATGGAAACTGCATTCTTCGTCATAATTACTTGCGTCCTTGAGTTACTCAGCCATTGGTCTAGATGTCCCTTGAACGTGGGGCTGGTTTTTCTGGTTGCTGTGAGAGAGACTGATTCTGCTTCAGTTCTTTCTCCACCCAGATGATTCTCGCCAGGCTCTCCAGTATCAGGAGAGCTGTGTAGTTGACGAGGCCTTCCATATTCCGAGGGACTCCTTGAAATTTTTAACAGGCAAATAAAATGAGCCGAGCACCTACTTCTGTGCCAAGCACTGCCCATTTAATATCTATAGTGTCGATTCCATTTTATAATCGTGGGTACTAATGACCAGGAAATGAGGGAAACTGGCCACAGAAGTGATAAAAAGTGATGTTTAGGAAGCAAGAAAACCTCAGTTCTACATTTATAAGAAAACCTACCATTCACTGTGTGATTTTTAAGTTCCAGGCACTGATTAAGTTAGTTCACGTTTCATTTAAGGCTCATGGCAAACCCATTAGGTAAGTATTGTTGCATTTTAGTCTAGGAATTTAAAGCTCACAAAAGTTAAATAACTTGCAAAGCCATTAAGCTTTAAATCGCAAAACTAACGTATAGACCTAGGTCGAACTTAAAAGCCCTTATTGTTAGCTGATGGGGATTCTCACCCTTAAATTTCCCCACACATCTCAGCCTCACTCAGGTGCCAGATATTTTTCATCAGAACATAATTCCACTGGAAAAATTTTTTTAAATAAATATTTTTCATTAGAATCTCACTCCCCTGCCTCCTACCCTCACATATGTACCCATAGGCCTTTATCCTTCCAGCTTATGGCAGAAATGAAAACCTGATAGTTTATCTCTTTGCATATGCTAAGTTTTTTCTGTGCCAAAAGAAGCACAGGATAATGAGATTTGGAGTTAAGCATGTTGACTCAAATCCTGGTTCTAAATCCCTACTTCCTTTTGTGGTCTCAGAAAAATCAACCACTTTGAGCTTCAGTTTTCATGTCTGTGACACAGACCTACCTCAGAGAGCAGTCATGACAGCTGGGATGACAGAAGGAAGATCTCTAATACTTAGCAGGTGGTTCAGTCAGCAGAAGGAAACGTAATGTAAGGCAGCCATCTCCCTGTGCGGCCTGGGAATCTCCCGGAGTCCGTGAGGCTCTCTTAGGGTGTCTGTGACCTCAAAACAGCTCTTATAATAATACCAAGACTTTAGTTCCCCTTTCCACAAGTTTACAGCAGTTATCTCCACAGGCTAAAGAATATGAGCTATCACATCAGACTGAATGCAAAAGCAGTTACTAGAATCTTGTTGCTTCTGTTACACTAGAGAGAAGCTCTTCATTGGAATCACCTAGAGATCTTTAAAAACTATTGATTCCAGGCTCTCACCACGTTCTTTTTTAAAATTTATTTTTATGTTTTTATTATGTTCAATTAACCAGCATATAGTATATCATAAGTTTTTGTTGTAGTATTTAATGATTTTTTTTTTTGCATGTAACACCCAGTGCTCATCCCAGTACATGTCCTCCTTAATACCCATCACCCAGTTACCCCATCCCTCCATTCCCTCCTTTCTGTAACTCTCACCACATTTTGATTTAATTGCTGTAGGGTGGTATCTGGTACATTTGGGGGTGGTGGGGAGTGGGTTATTAAATTTCCTCCAGTGATTTGAATGTGCAGTAAAGTTAAATTGGCCTTTGTTTTTCAATGGGTATAAAGTTTTTGTTATGCAAGATGACTAAGTTCTAGAGATCTACTGTACAACAGAGTACTTAGTTACAACTACAGAATTGTACACTTTAAAATATGTTAAGAAGATAGATCTCATTTAAGTGTTCTCATCAAAAAACAAAGAAGCAAAATCCCACAAAAGAGCACAAGAAAATTTTGGAACTGATGGATATGCTCCGTTATGGTGTTGGCCGTCAGGGGAGTACATATACATTAAGTGTGTGCATTTGTTTGTAAAGAAACTATAACTAAAAACAACTAAAAATAAAAAGAATGTTAAGTAAGCTACAAAAAGAGATTTGTAAAACCATGTATCAGTGCCACTCTTCACACTCATATTTTTTTTATTTTGGAAAATAACAGTTATGTTAATAAAAGGTTACTTGTATTAATGCGTAATGAAACTTCAATAATTTTTTTGTGTGTAAAGGGGTTCTGAGACCAAGAGTCTAAGAGACATTGGTATGTTGTAGGGATTAAGACCCTGGACTCTAGAGCCAGACTTGCCTGTTGATATCATGGCTCTGCCATTGTAGGCTTTGTCACCTGGGGCACTTTGCTTACCTTCTCTAGACTTCAGCTTCCTTGTCCATGAACTGTGTATAATAATAAAATTTTATAATATAATAATTAATATAATATATATATAAATAATATAAATATAATAATAAAATCTTAGACTTTTTGTGAGGTTCGGTGAGTAACACACAAAAAACACTTAACATGGTACCTGGAACGTTAGAGTGGCTTTAACTAATATATGACCTCCTTGTTACTATTTTAGTTGTTATGAGTAACTCACATTGATGATTTTGCAGTAACAGTGCAAAATCTGTAGGCCAAGCCATTCTTCCAGCCAACTGATTTTTGCACACAACCATGGTATAGGAGCCACTAGGTAGTGTCTTGAAGAAATCAGCAGGAGATGTCATAGACCTGGTCACTCCAGACCGTGCTCTTTGGTTCATTACTCTGTATAGTGGCAACACTGCATTGCTGCCCTTCAGGTCAGAGCATGAATGACTAAGAGAGGAGGTGACACCAAGATGACGATGTGACTTGGGGAGAGGAAGAGATGGCATTGCAAAGAGGCAGGATGTATTTTATCAGCCAAAATGTTCCCAGACTCCCCCTCTCTTAAGTCACTCCCCTTGGCTTCCCACAGTTGCCAGCCTTAAGATTCTATGTTCCTTCTGACTTTTTCTCACAAACATAGTTCACCTCTTGATGATATTAAAGCACATCTTTATTCCCACGGTGATATTCAGCACCATTAGTCACAACAATAAAAGGGTCTCCTCATAACTGAGAAAGACAGAGAGATGAATAATTCAGTAATGCTGAAGGCCATCAACATAATCAAAATTCCCTGTAACAGAAGAAGAAGGAAAAAGAAGAATCATGATATTAGCACAATAATGGTTTTTCTGAAGCCAATGAGGTAAAAATTCCCGGTTAAGAAAAGCTTTCTCTTGCATGTCTCAGGTATATCTGACTCTTATAAAGGATCACGAGAGCATACAGCTGTTGCAGCACAGGAGAGCACATTATTTTCTTAG